TTGCAGGCCAGCAAAGCTTAAGACTCTTGCCATGCTGGAAAGGCTTCCACTATAACAACACTTCCGTCAGTGTTGTTATATAGCTATGATACACACAGAACACAACAGTTTGCAAAGAATTCCAAATCATTACTACAGAGATGGAGAGAGATGTATTGTGGATGTGAGCAGCCAGAAATATCTACCAGATGAGATATTCTGAAGAACAGCATAAGTAAAGAATGTCTTAAGAGAAATTTATGACATGAAAATATGGACTAATCACCCATTCAGGACAAGAAAAGGCTGTTAGAGACAGAATACTCCACTGGTTTCAAGAGAAATCAAGTTAAGTCTTCCAGATGTTGGATGGACCCACTGTGGTAAAGTTATAAGAGGACACAGTTAAGTGTCACAAAGGACAGGCAGGCCCAGATGGGTTGCAATGTTCAGCCTCAGAAGGAACATCTGAATTGAAGACATAAAAGATCCATCTGAATAAACACAAAGTTTAGGAAGTGGCTCCTAAAAATCAACACAAATGGCCAATACAAGTCTCTGTACCATACATAGATAAATGACTACTCTATTGGGTAAATTCTCCCAGACCTTTCTCCATATCAACCTATCTAGAAGACCTGAACCACATATAGCATTTGGGGGGAGGGAGGGGCTAGGCAATGGGGTTAAGTGACTTGCCCAGGGTCACACAACTAGTGAGTGTCAAGTGTCTCAGGCCGGATTTAAACTCATGTCCTCCTGACTCCAGGGCCGGTGCTCTATCCACTGCACCACCTAGCTGCCACCACATATAGCATTTTTGAAGAAAAAAGTTTCCCAGACTCAATTTCACACAAACCTGCTGGTCTAACAGATGAACTCCCTCCAATTTAGCCAATCCCCCCATATGCATCCAGCCTATTCCGTAAGGTTAACCATCGATTCAACAAATATTAAGTGCTTGCTTATGTGCCAGACTTTGTGCTAAAGACAGGAAGGGGCTCATATGGGAGGAGACTAAGGCCTGAAGGGAGTAGGGGGTCCAAGAGGTGGAAGTGAGGACGACACTCTAGGCACTGGAAAGAGCACAGGTGTGCAGAAAGTGAGATGGAGAGAAGGGAGATTGGTAGCAGGGAAAACAATCAAGAGGCAATTGAAATAGACTGGGTGAGAGGTGATGAGGGCTTGACCTAGGCTGGTGGTTATTTAAGTTAAAAAGAAAAAAAAGGAGACACAGTTAAGTGGCACAGTAGATAGAGTTCAAATCTGGTCACAGACACTTGAAATTTACTAGCTGTGTGACCCTGGGCAAGTCGCTTAATCCCAATTGCCTAAAGAAAAAGAAAAAAGGAACAGATATTAGAAATGACATGCAGGGAGAGTTAACAAAAAATCAGCAATTGAATAAATATGGGCCATGCCTGTAAAGTGCCAAAAAGGATTCTAAGGTGGTAGACCTAGAAAACTAGAAGGGTGATGGTACCCTTGGTAAAAAAAAATTTTTTAAATAGGAAAGGGGGGAGGTTTAGAGGAAATGAGTTCTATTTTGAGTTTGAGAGGACTATGGAACATCTAGTTGGAGATATCAATCAGGTACTGCCAATCAACAAGAAGTTGTCAAGCATTTACTATGCAAAGAGTCAGATATGCCTGAAATACTGAAAAACAAACAATATTTCCTAATGTGTCCTTTCCCCTAGCCCCTCCCAGAAAGGCAGGACTGGATTACTTTATAATACTACAGGCTGGATGATTTAGGACTGTGACTTTTGATAAAATGCAACCATAGAAATGAAGAAAAACCTACATATTCAGTCCCCTCTTTGAATCACCTTGCCTTTGTCCATAGATCCCAATGTAGATGAAGGCCAGAGGAAATTTCAGGACAACAAGAGACTTCTGACTGAGCTCTAGCTACCCTAAGAGCTAAAAATCTGTCTTGGCCAATTGTTCCTCCACTTTCTGGAAGACTGAAACATTCTTTCTTTCTTTTTCTTTTTTTCAGGTGAGGCAATTGGGGTTAAGTGACTTGCCCAGGGTCACACAGCTAGTGAGTGTCAAATGTCTGAGGCCAAATTTGAATTCAGGTCCTCTTGACTCCAAGGCCAGAGCTCTAACCACTGAGCCACATAGCTGCCCCAAAACATACTTTGTAAAGCAGTCACAGCGTCAAGATGAAGCCCAAAATTCAGTAATTCTAAGGGACAAAGGGAACTACAGGTTAAAATACACATATTTCTCTTCATTATCCTTGCTATTGAATAGCCTTGACCAACTGAGAAGTGAATGTAGATTCCTTCTTTGCATCACAGGTCAGCAAAGAGACAAACGAAAAAGTACATTGAAAACATATAAAAGTACCATCCAACTTTATTGTAGTTTTATAAAACTACAAAAACACAAAATAAGTTATCCTTTTTCTTATACACTATTGACTTTCCTGTCAAGAATGTTTTAGTCCAAAATGTCCATATCCTTTGACCCAGAAATTCCATTGTTAGGTATAGAGGTCAACGACAAAAAGAAAGCTGCCACACACACCAAAATATTTATAGTGGCATTTTTTATAATAGCTAAGAATTAAAACAAAGTAAATGTTCATCAGTTGAGGAAAGGCTAAAACAGCTGTGGTTCATGAATGTAATGGCACATTAAGATTGTTTTTTGTTTTGGCAATAGGGTTAAGTGATTTGCCCAGGGTCTCACAGCTAGTAAGTGTCAAGTGCCTGAGGCCACATTTGAACTCAGGTCCTCCTGACTCCAGAGCTGGTGTTCCATCCCCTGTAACACCTTAGCTGCCCCAAGCTAGTTTTTTTTTTTAAAGAGACTATGATGAATACAGAGAAGGAAGACATAGATGAATTAATGTGAAGTGAAACAAGTAGAACCAGGAAAATAATATACACTATGACTACAGCAACATAAATAGAAAGAATGACAGTAACACAAGTGAAACTTAATGCTTCAAAGTTATGACCAAACTTGGTGCCAAAGAAGAAATATGAAAAAGTATCTCACCCTCTTCATTGCAACAGTAGGGTGACTACCAGTGTGGAATACTTCCTATATTGTCATACTAGTCCAATATGTTGGTTAACTTTTCCTGAATCATTTATTTTCTCTTTTTCATTCTTTGTTAAAGGACTGATCTATGGGAAGGAGATAGGGAAATAAAACACTGGAAATAGTGGATAATATAAAAAACAAAATATATCAATAAAATTTTATTAAAGAAAAAAAAAGATTTTCTAGTCCCTCACATTGACCCAATGCATTTGGTTAGGTACAAACTAATACTAAACCAAAAACAGATCATACAAAAGCATGCACACCCACACCCACTCCCTACGTATCAATTATTTGGAACACTTCTATTCTTCCTAACTCTGAAAAAACAGCTTATTTATACACATAAGCCAACATGTCAGGGAAACCAGAAAGCCCATAAATGCATAGGCCCACTCATAAAAGACATTCCACCAGCTTTAACACAAACAGGTCATTCTGGTACTTCCATTCCTATACAAACACATACAATCCCATGAAACAGGCTCCCCTTATAATAATAGCTAATACATACAGCACTTCCTATGTCCCAGGCATTGTACTACGCATATTTGATCCTCACAACAGCCCTAGAGGTAGGTGCTATTATAACCCCCATTTTACAGATGAGTTAACTGAAGCAGAATTAAGTGACTTGCCCAGGGTCACACAGCTATTTGACTGTCAAGATGCTGAACTGAAACTCAAGTCTTCCTGATTCCAGGCCCTGCATGCCCAGAGCTCCATCCACTGCATCACCAAGATGCCCCAACGCCAATGGTTTCCCCATCATTCCCATATAGTCCCTATTAGAGAGTATATTACATGCACCCTTCCTGTCTAGGCTATACACACCTACCCCCATACGCATAAATTAGTGGGAGCACTTCCATTCTTCCCAACTCTAAAAACCAGCTTGTTCACACACACACACACACACACACACACACCCTCCATACATACAAAATGGCCACTCTGGAATCCATATACTGGTCGGCCATCATCCTTCCACACAGAGGTTAATAGCCACTGATCACACTAGAAGACTAGTCTGTCAAGACTGAACCCTTCCCCCTCCAACCACTACCTAACATTTATTCTAAGTTACTCTTAGGACCCACAGGGTCCAGCCTGCTAGGGATGCCCCCATCACACCATGCACAAAAATGCTCTGGCCCCCCTCACTTGGGCTTCCTCTGTCCCGGTGGGTGTCAGCAGTGGCTTTCCTTGGGACTGCCTCCCATCTGTATGCGTTCCCTAGTTAACTGCACTGTGTCTCCACAGTTAGACTATCAGTTCCCTGAGAGCACAGGCAGCGGTTTTGCCTTTGTATCCAATTCTTAGATCCGTGTCTGGCACCTTCATAAGCGATTAATAAATGCTTGTTGACTCACTGGTCCAGCACCGCCTCTATTTGCTCTTTCCTCTTCTGGGCGCCCCCCCCAATTCCTGGACTATTCCCCGGGAGGAGGGGGTGCAAGGTCGCTCTCAGGAGGCCGTGATAGAGCAAAGCCAGGCCGGTGACAGGTAAGACTGCAGGTCCTGCCCCCCCACCCCAGACAATTCTATCCATCTTCCCATCTGAAAAACCAGCGGAGGCAGGGGGGCTGGGGGCGCTTCGGCTGCAAGGACTCTCAACAGGAGGGAGAAAAGGTACACGTACACACACACACACACACACACACACACACACACACACGTTCAGGCACGCCCCGCCCCTCTCCCCTCGCTAGGCACTCGCATCCCTCCCCACAACTCCGCGGTGGTGCCTCTCCCAGGGCTCACCCGCTTTGCACCCACCACGCCGGCACCCCCTTGTCAGGGGCCGCTTGCAGGTTGCTCTTCTCCACCTCTCCCTCGGACACACCTGCCCAGCCTGGGGCCGGGTCAGCCCGAGGAACCACTACCTCCCCGACTCCAGCTTCCACTTCAAGTGTCCCCAACCAGCTTCCTAAATCTCCACTGCCTCCTCCTACCTCCAGCCCCAGCCTCCCCGTTGCGCGTGCGTCACCCCCTGCACACTCAGCCCCATCTCCGACCTCCCGCCCTGTGGGACTATTCCATCCCCGCCTCCACAGGGGGAAACGCTGGTCTTTAACTATTCTGTTCCCGCCCGCCGCAGGTGTGTGGGTAAGAGAGATTTGTCCTCAGCACCGGGCCATTCCATTCCCTCCCGGTGGAGGGGTGTGAGCAAAAGAGATTTATCCACAGCAACGGACTGTTCCATTCGCGCCAACTAGAGGGGTGTAAAAAAAAGACTGGTCCTTGGCATAGGACTATTCCATTCTCCACTGGACTATTCCATTCCCGCAAGCTGGAGGGGTGTGAGGAAAAAAAGACTTGTCCTTGGAGCACGAGACTATTCCATTCCTGCCGGCTGCAGAGGTTTGGGGAAAAGGGATTTGCCCTCAGCTCCGGACAATACCATGCCTGCCAACCGCAAGGGTGTACAGTAGACCAAATCGGACCTCACCACGAGACTCCACGAAATGGGAGGCACAATGTAGCAGGAACTACGTCCTTGACCCGGAAGTAGAGAGAAACAACTAACCCTGCCGCCTGAGCGGAAGTCTTCTACTCCACAGCTAGCTTTCGGTCGGTTGTCAGTGCCTTACTGTCTTTCCTTACTGGCTTGCGAGCGGTTGTGGGGGACGCTGAGCAGCTACCTGCCGTAAGACTTGGCCCTTGCTGCCGCAGGAACCTCGGGTGAGTGAGCCCTGGGGGGGCCGGGCAGGACCAGGCTCAGAGCTTGGGCGTGCGTTTAAACGGAAGCCGACCTTGCAGTGCGCGGGAAAGTGCCGGGTGCCCCGGCCGAGGCGGGCCCGTCCTGCGCGTGGGAGCGAGGAGCCGGCTCCGGAACTTTTCTCTGGGCGCTGGGAGCGTGGTTCCCGGGGACAGCGTGCGGACAGGGGGCGCTGCATGTGGAGGCTCTGGGCCGGCCGTGAGCGGGGGCCACTCCTGGGGAGGAAATCAGGGTTAAATGGCTTTTAAAACACTGGAAGACCGTGAGGGGTAATGGAAATGGCGCTGGATCCCATAGAACAGGGATTTTAGAGCTGGAAAGGACTATGGAGGCCAAATCCCTCGCTTTACAATTGAGGAAACTGAGGCACGGAGAGGTTAAGTGATTTGCCCAGCTAGTAAATATTTGAGTTGAGATTTTAACTTAGCTGTAAATCGACACACAACTTTCAGGTGACTCATTAATTATAAATTATATATTTAATTATGATATATTTATCTGTATTTATAACTAGTAAGTATATAAGTTATAAATTATTGGAGTGTATATAACCGACATTAAAAGTAAATAGTAAAAAATAAATATGAAATAAATGTGAAATACAATACAAAATAAAACAAAAATACCGTATATATTAAAAAACATTACCTATGATGTATAATATGTAAAATACACTTAAGAATAAATATATAGTACTAAACGTAGTGCTTATATATGTGTACAAAGGAGTATTGGCCCTAAATAAGCCTTGGGTAAGTGCAATATGGCCCGTGTTAGTATGTTTGTTTGCAGCTTCTTCCAGATAATGGATAAAGCTGAGGGCAAAGCCAGATCTAACAGTTTCCTATGCTTGGTTTAACAAATGTTTATGCAAGGTCTGGTATGTGGCAGGCCCTGTGCTGGGAACTCTTAGGGTCACTGATACTAATACTATGATATTCTCTCACTAGTTGTACTATTCTCTGGCTGCCCTGCTGAGAACTGACCATGGCTTCCCACAAGACTTTCAGAATCAAGAGGTTCCTTGCAAAGAAGCAGAAGCAAAATCGTCCTATTCCTCAGTGGATTAGAATGAAAACTGGCAATAAGATCAGGTACAACTCTAAGAGGAGACACTGGAGAAGAACCAAGCTGGGCTTATAAAGAACTGCTACCGTGGTGGCTTAGATTATTCTTTCCTAGTCCAAAACGCCTTGCCATGCCACCACCCTGATTTTGGAAATTCCAAAGGTTGCAGACATAAAGAAACTTCTTATTCAGAGATTGCCATTTTGTTTATTTATTTCTTTATTGATTCAGTGATTAAATATGCTATTGATAATAACTGCTATTTATATAAGCTTTAAACGTTATAAAGTGCTTTGTCGGGAACTAATCCAGTTGTGAGAAAGGTCCAGAGACTTAAAGGTGAGGAGAGGTGCTCATTGGCATAGAAGGCAGAAACACATTATCAGTCCAGAACTGCACAAGAGAAGCCATGAAAGGGTGTCCTGGAAAATAAAGTAGTCAGTGGTACAAGTGAAGAAACATTCATGCGCCGCTGGGGCGCTCCATTGCTATTCATCTCATGCCGTAGAAACGAGGCCCGTAGCTCGTTGGCAGGAATTACTGGGACAGTAGTCATATGTGATAGGCTTGGATGGAGCAGCAGTCTGCATCTTCAGAGTATCCAGTTATCTCATTTGATCTTTACATTGAACTTGTGAGCTAAGTGCTACAAGGATTGTTCCAGTTTTACAGTTGAAAAAACTGAGGCTTGTAGATGTTAAATGATTTTGACCATACTTCTGCAGCTAGTAAATGTAGAAGATCCCAGGTCTTTCCTGACTCTACATTGAATACTCTTTCTACTATATGATGTTGCCTTTGAATGGGAGAACAAGCAATCCTTACACCTCAGAAATTTACAACCTAATGGAGGAATATGACACACTTAGGCACCATAGTAAAGTGTAAAGAGTGCTCACATTAGATTACTGGATGTGATTTATTATACCTTAGTTCAAATTTTGGCTTTGCCACATACAAGTATTAAGTGCCTGCTATATGCAGGGTACTCTGTTAGGTGTAGGGAATACAAATACAATGAATATGGTGGGGAAGCTAGGTGGGACATTTGGATAAAGTGCTGGGCCTGGAGTCAAGAAGACCTGAGTTCAAATCCAGCTCCATAAGCTTCCTAGCTGTGTGACCCTGGGCAAGTCCCGTAACCACTATTTGCCTTAATCCACTGAAGGAAATGGCAAACCACTGCAGTATCTTTAACAAGAAAACCCCAAATAGGGTCACAAAGAGTTGGAGATGACTGAACAACATTTCGATGTAGTTGCTTTCCTTTAAAATCATATTTTATGCACTTAGAAAGTGTCCATATGGACCATTTAGTAGGTTTCACCAGACCGCCAGAGAGGTCCATGACAGGAAGTTAAGAACCTCTACTCTGAACCCCTCTGATGAAAAGAAACTACTGAAATATTAATTTTAAACATGGATGTATTTTTTTTTGTAAGGAAAAAGGTAAATCCTTAATTCCTTCCTCTCTGTACTGCCTTTCAATTCAATAAACACTTATTAAGCATTTACTGAATCTGCCCCAGGCACTGGAGAATGCAAATTGGGAAAAGAAAGTTCCTGCCTTGGAGGAGTACCATCTGTTGGATGAAGACTACACACAAAAAGGGTATTGGGGGTGGGGGAGATTTTCTGCAAAACCCAGATCCCAGCTCCTGTTCAGAAGGATAGGCAGTGTTCTACCCTTTAGTCCTTCAGCTGAAATGGAGAGGAAGCTTAGGGAGTTGAGGTGTTAAGTATCTAAAACTGAATCAGTCCATCTTTCTCAAGTCTCATGGCATTTACTCTCCATAACCACTTGTTTGGTCACTTAGTTAAGTGCCATTTTGCATTACTGTTACCTTTTTCATGTATATTTGTTTTGTTTCTAAGTAGTAAGCTACTTGAGTGTTAGGCACTCAAATAGTAAATTGATAGTCCATAAAATATAAATTGGGGGAGGGGGCAGGTAGGTGGTGAAGTGGATAGAGCACAGGCCTTGGAGTCAGGAGGACCTGAGTTCAAATCCAGCCTCAGACCAAACACTTGACACTAGCTGTGTGACCCTGGGCAAGTCATTTAACCCCAATTGTCTTTAAAAAAAAAACCCATAAATTCACCTTGTTTGAAGTGCTACTTAGGGATGGGAAAAGCAAATTGTTGTGGTCTGAGAGGTTGAGAGGTTGTGACTCCTCAAAGACTGAATTACAGGATGGGTCGTCTGGAATGAATTCACTGACTCAAGCATTCTTTAAATCAGGGTGGCAAAGTTTATTGTTACACTTTTCAGCAGGCAAGGATTCTTAAAGGATCCTACAACCTTAGAGAGATAACAGTTAAAGTTTATATAGGATAAAATACAATAAAACATGTGCCAAATATGCTAACTAGGGGATTCAGGGTGGGATTAGGGAGTGGTCAGTCCTTAAAGGAACATGCACTTGTACTTACTGAGCAGGCATTTTACCCAGAGTTCATCAGAAAAAGCCCACAAGGGGGTGCTACGTGGAGGTGTGGTTTTAGGCCTGCTACAGTCACTAAGTCAACTAGAGTTCAGGGTAACTGAGAGTTATCCAATGTGCCACTGATCAATGTCTTGTTTGACAAGATAGTTATAGGGAGTATACATATGTCTTAAGTCTAGAACACAGTTAATAAGGAACCCAGGATGTAGATAATGTGGTAGGGCGGTACTATAGATAGTCCAGTGGGGATGAATGTCTTTATGACCCAGTGCAAAGCCAGTTTAAACTAATAATTCCTTCTGGTGCTGTTTGGAACTGCACCAGGGAGAGAGATAAGGGTCTTGCTGGGGCCCAGTCATATGTAATTGCTAAGCACAGAGTCCTTGGGCTGGGGAGAAACTGTCAGAGACAGTGTTTCTGAGGCTAGAGAGAAATTGGGGTCCAAATACAAGCACCCTGTCACAAATATTGAAGGTAGATGGACATGATATTTACTTTTTATTTTTATTTTTATTTTTTTTTAAGGATAGGCAATGGGGTTAAGTGACTTGCCCAGGGTCACACAGCTAGTAAGTGTTATGTGTCTGAGACTGGATTTGAACTCAGGTCCTCCTGAATCCAAGTCCAGTGCTCTATCCACTGCACCACCTAGCTGCCCCCTTTTTTTATTTTTATTTTGGACATGATATTTACCCCCAAAACTAAATCATCCACAAATTTCACCAAAAGTGAGGCACTGCATTTTAATGAACAAAAAACTGAAAACAAAAAGAAACATTTAAGGATGAAAAAAACAGGAGGAGGTCTAGCAATCTAGAAAGAAAAAGAATAGGTTTCTTTTGGGTAGTGAGGGTAAAAATGTTCCCCCACCTTCTCAGCCTAAGAGTGAGGATCTGGGATCAATCCAAGATGCGTAATCTTGTATGTCATGATCTAGCAATTTCTCAGCATATATAACCAAAAGTCAAAAACATCCGAATACACCAAAAATATTCAGAAGAGTACTTTCTGTGTTAACAAGGAACTAGAAACAAAGGAGCCAACAGTTGGAGAATGACTGAAGAAAGTGACATATATGAATGTAATGGAAATATCAAGTCAGAAATGACAAGTAGGAGAATTCAGAGAAATGAGCAAGGATGAACTGATGCATAATTAGATAAGCATAACTAGAACAATATGCATAATGAATACAATCAAGTAAATTAAAAACTCTAAAAATAAGCCATTAGTTGTGATAGCCAATCATAGTCTCAGAGAAAAGAAAATTTACCTAGAAGAATGGGCATAATTTGGCATGCCTTCTCAGAAACAATCACTGTAGCTTGTTTATTTTTTAACAATAAAGTCTAGTAAATTAATGAAAATTGAATATGAATCCCTATAATAGAATTCATCACCATGGCATTATTATAAAATGCCTACGGTTAGACATGGGGCTAATGCTATACTATACAGACAGTTAGCAATATATGGTACCCTGCCTCGTACTGTACCATAAGATCTTACAGATTCAGATGAATATCCAAGACAAAAACAATAAATGTGTTAAATCCACCAATTAACAGTAAAGCTTTTACCATTGGCTCTGTTATTTGCACCAGTAGAAGGAACTGAGTGTGGATAATCCCTAAATCATTTGTATTTACCCTTAAATACTGCTTATGCACTTTGTTTTAATTTGGCTGTATCCCAACCAGGAATTCACTTCAAACATAATAATGAGAACTCTGCAGCAGCCTGACATAAAGGAATGTGGAAATGCTATCCAATTTTCCCATTTTGTCTCCATTTCATCTTGCATTCTGCATCCTACTATGAGGAGAAAATATGGGTGCTTAGATTAATGGAAAGCCACAGACTTAATAATTACCCTCAAGCTTTCCCTGAAGAATTGGAAGTGGTTAAGGTTTTTATGGGTTTTTTTTTCTTATTTCAAAGGACTTCCTAACCAAAACATACCTCAGATTCAAAGTAATTAGTCATAATTGATGCAGTTAAAATTTTGAAATCAGGTTCATTGGATGGTTCTATTCAGTTCAGTAATCACTTATTAAGGGCCTACTGTGTGCTAGGCATGGAAGATACTAAAACAAAAATCCCCTCAAGGACTTTATAGTCTACTGAGAGGAAACAACATACACCAAGAACAAAAAAAAAATTAGGGGAGGGTGTTAGAATTAACAATGGAATGAGAATCAATAAAGGCCTTTTGAAGGAGGTGGCACTCAAGCTGAGCACTGGAGGGAGCTAGTGCTTCCAAGATGTAGAGGGTAAAAGGATAGACATTCCAGGGATAATGAATAGCCCTTAACAAGGTACAGAGATAGAGATGGAAATATGTATGGGGAACATCCACTAGGCCAGGTTGATTGGAATGTAGAGGTAGCAATGTAAAATCCTGGAAAGTTAGATTGGAGCCAGATTCTGAAAGACTAAATGTCAAACAGAGAGGTTTATATTTTATCCTAGAAATAATAGGGTATGTTATTGTTGCTTCTTAAAAAGAGCAATAAAATGATTGGACCTGTGTTTTAGGAATATCAATTTGGCGGTTCTAGGGATTTCTGATTTTATATAGGGAGTTATAGAGAGTAAACAATAGAGGACTGAAGAAGAAATGAAATTATCAGAAACTTGCCCAATTGTATGCCAACAAAATAGAGAGGAAATAAATGAAAATTTACAAAAATATGAAATAGATTAAAAATAAAAGAGGAATAGGCTAAATAACCCAATATCAGAAAA